AATTGTAATCAACTGAGACTTTACAGCTGGCAAAGTTGTATTAAAATTTGTATCTTCACTTTAGTACTCAGAAAACTTCAGAATTAATTGTCTCATCATAGCAAAGTCCATAAACACTCCTCCAACAGTGAACTGGTCAGCTGCATAGCCAAGTATTTTGCCAGATCTTGGGCTCAGTTGCTTGCAGCTGCAGAAACCAAATTTAATCCTCATAAAAAGCCAGAACTTCATATCTGTCTATTGAGCCAGGAGTTTCTGGTTCTCATGAGGTGCTTCAAAACAGTCCATGGCCATCATTCTGTGGTCTGTTGGTGTTCAGGGAGCTGTTGCTATTTAAGTCTTCATTGTTGGATGTTGTGCCCAAAAATGCTGCCACTGCCATTTAACATTGTCTCTCTTGTTGTCCAGATGAGCACCATGCCAGGACTGCCTACAAGACCCTGCTTCTATGATATAGACCTGGACCCAGTGTCAGGAGAAGTAAATGGGCTCTTCTGAAAGGAATTATTGAGGTTGGTGCCTTCTTGAAAGCCTTCAATATTTGGGCTTTATTTTTGCAAAGATCTTGAGATAATGGAGTTAAGCCAATCCCATATTATGCCATATGTTTCCAAATGACATTTTATAATAATTCAGCCTGAAAGTTGCCTGCAGTACTATATAATAGTAATTAAATTTTATTTTTGTTTTTAGCTCCCAGAAGAACACCTGATGAGTCATGTAAATGGAACTGTGCTCTGATCTTTTTTAAAGTCAGAATAAGACATCAGTGAGAATATAGTGCAAGAAGTGACTGTAAGGAGGAGTACTGAAGAATCAACCAGTAACTTTTAATCTGTAATAATTTTTAAACTGCTGCCTTCCAAGCTAGTTGACACTGAGCATATAAAGCAAACTTCCTCTACAGACCTCCCTCTTCATGATTGTAGCTGAAGCAGAATACAGAAGCTTGGCTTTAATGACCTCTTTTGATTCAGTGACATGATTTTAATAATTAAAAATCCTAAAGCTGGAGCTGTTTGAAACAGTCTTGGGACTTTAATTGTCTTAACCATCAGGGTTTTGCACATGTATTATCTTTAGAAGTCTTGCTGGCTGCAGTTTCCCCTTTGTGGAATCCTCTGTCGCTCTTCTCAGCACGGGAGAGCTGCTGTGCCCTGGCCCTGCTCCAGTGTCACTTCAGAGGAGCAGGGAGGATCCCCTTTGCTCCCCAGAGCTCTCCACGAGTGCTTCCCCTGCCTTCTGCTGGGAGTTTCTCCTGCAGACACCTGAGCCACATCAGAGACAGCCCAGGCCCAGCTGTGACTGCTGTGTTCTTCTGTCCATGGAAGGAAAGCTCTGCAGAGCAGGTCTGGAAGCACTGGCCCATATCTGTGGCTTCTGCCAAACGTGTCCTTGGAACCATTTCCTGCTCAACCATAAGTGCAGTTACACCATTGACAGGCCTTCTTTCACATGGTACCTTTCTGATCAATAGAGAATGTGAACAGTGATCAAGTGATTTGTAGCAGGTTTTGTCAGCAGGCCAAAAATCATTTTGTAACATGAAGATAGCATTGCTGCCAATTTTTTAACTAATACAAATAAACTGGCAAATACTTCAAGTGCTTTTTGGGTTTTAATGTATGCACTGAGATTACTGAATTAGGATTTATTCCTGTGATTAACTACACACAACAGCAATCATTGTATTGACAAGTAGGAGTGATTATTGCAGTAATAAGTAGCCTGCAATGCACCAGGGTGTGTGTGTTTTAATCTGGTTTCCTTCCCTGGATGATGTATGTTGTCTGTAGGAAATAAACTACCTGAATTATTCTGTGAATGTGAGATACTTGCATCTGACTGCAGAATATCTGAATTAACAGTCATGAGGCCCATCTGCTTGTATCAGAACTGAATCTAAAAACATTCCAAATTTGGTGAGAACTGGGAGGATCAGGATGTAGGTGTGCACCAACGTAGGAGAGCATTTGTAGTACACAGATACTGTGTGTGAATATATATATATATGGATATGGAGAGAAAGATCTCTATCTCTTCAATTATTCAAGAGGGGAGAATAATTACATAAAAGTTACCTGGTTGTGACACAAGCAGACAGAACACTTAAAATGGTTATGAGAGTATTTGAGATGCATTCACAGCCTCCTGAAATGTTCTTTTTGATGTAACCCAGCCAAGGGTTTCCTGGCAGGCTCAGTCCCCTTGCAGGGGGTCAGGAGGGGCTCCCCCAGTGCTGCCCAGCCTGGCTGGGGGTCCCTGCAGCCCCTGGGCCCAGCCTTCCCTGGAGCAGGGTGCCAGAGCGGATGCTGCCAAGGCTGCTGTCAGTTCCTGCATTTAATCTTCCCTGCTACACTGCTTTTCCTGCAAGTGCTCTGTGTTCCACCTTCATTTTATGCTTATGAAAGATGGGATAAGTGCAAATTTATGCTAAGATTAGCCTCCTTTTAGTTTAGCATGAGATCATAGCCATGTGCTTGAGAGAGATGGTTCAAGAGGTTGCTAGTCCCCCTCCTGCAGTGAGGCACAGCACCGGATCAGGCACGAGCTTTGAAGGGTTTGCTGCGCAACAACAAAGCACAAGGGCCAAAAAAACAGCCCCAAGCATCTCCAGGGATCAATGGGGAATGTTTTCTAACCTGCACTTCCAACCTCTTTTTTCTCCTGCAGGATGGATACATAAATAGGTTATTTTTTTAATACTCTCCTTTGCAGTTAAGGGTGCCAGCTAGGTCTTGTCCTATCAAATAGGACACAGAGGACACTTAATTTCTCCTAGCTAAGTACTCAGTGGTTCTCTTCTCCTCCTGTTGCTTAGAGAAAAAACTAATTATGTACAAATTTCTACTCTGTGGGCTATTTGTGGCCTGGTCCTTAGCTGGTGTTCCAGCCATCCGTCCCTATGCTGTGCTGTTGTGAGAGCACTGCTTCACATCCTGTAAGAAATAACACAGACTTATGGTTTTAGGTAGTGCTGGGGACAAGAAAGAGGAGAAGGTGTTGCTTGGTTGGCTTGTTGTGTGTCACCAGCGCCACAGAAAGAAAACAGGATCCAGCTGGGCCAGCATCTCCTGTCCAGCTTACCCAACTTCTGACCTGGTGCTTTGTTTGCCTTTTATTTCCCTTTCACCACAGCCACTGGTGCTGCCATCTGCCCCTGGAGAGTCGGCAATAATTGGATTCCATGCAAAGTGCTCCCGAGGGGATTCATGGCAGCTTGCCTCCCATCACACCACCACATTCCCCAGCCTCACATTACCATCCTCATTGTCTGCTTCCCTCCCTCCTGCCTCCAACTGCAACGAGGGAAAAGCTCCTTGCTTTGAAGGGCCTCACTTGGCTTTAATAAAGCAGTGGATCATAATTAGAACCCACCACCCACCTCAGGAGAGAAGCTGTTTCCAAATGAAGTTTATTATCCTGAGTGAATGCGAGCAAACACATCTCAGAGGGGAGCTTTTAAAAAGGCAATTCCTTGTGATGCTCAATGCACTTTTTCAGCCCTCCTGGCTGGTGTTTCAGCCCAACTAATCCATTTTGTACCTTTTTTCCCATGAAGAAGCTGAGGAGGGGGGAGGCCATGTGTGTTTTTCTAAGCCTGGCCTACACTGGAAGCCACTTGCAAGTTCAGAGTGCTGCTTTGCTGAGTTTCTCGTGTGCAAACACGCTGTGAAGCAGTTAATGTCTGTAAAGCCTTTGTGGGCGTCAGCTCCCCGCGGAGATGAATGGGGACGTTCGGGCATCTCAACTGCAGTTTCCTGTAGTTCATCAGCTGCACTGGGAAGTCCTTTTTCTGGAGCCTCTCCCATCAATCATCACAGCTGGAGACGTGATTTTTTAAAGTCAGATCTCAGCTGCTTTGGAGAGAAGAAAGGCTCCGATAACAGAGGCACTTTCTCTGGTGTTTTGGGCATGGATTAGTTTGAAGCCAAGAGCTGGCTGTCCTTATCTCCACCTCCAAAGGTGTAGCTCTTGCAGCACCTCCAACAGTGAGTGCTGAAGGCTGTGAATGTTTCAGGTGGGACACAAAAAACAAGAGCAAGCCAGGAACCTTTCGCACCAAGCCAGGACACCCCCAGCTGTCTCTCGTCCCCGCGAGGTGCGCTCCGGGCTCCGTTGCCGCTGGGATCCGAACT